ATGATAAATGGCCATATTATTTAATTGTACATTTTTTTCACAAGTATCACCAGAATATGGTGTAAGGAAAAGTCAAAATTGAGCAAGAAAGTCAAAACTAAACAAAATAAGTGCAAGAAATGATAAAAAGCAATTCCTTATTTCAAAATAAAAGAGTAGCAGAAAATACTCACTGGTGTGCTACCTAATAGGATTGTGAATGTTTTAATAAATGTTAGTATAATTGTCAAATATTTGCTGAACCTCACATCTTTAGTCATCAGGGAACTGCAAATCAAACAATCGTGAGACTTCACTTTACTCTAGGAAAAATGGGTCTCATCAAGAACGCAAAACAAGGGCCGGGGATTTAGCTCAGTGGTTTCGCCGCCTGTTGCGCAAGCACAAGGACCCGAATTCAGTCTCCGGTACCAAAAAAAAAAAGAATGCAAAACAACAAAGCTGGTGAGGATGTGGGGAGAAACTAACCCTTTTACATTATTGGTAGGTGGTAAACTAGTATAACCACTATGGAAATCAGTTTGCAAATCCCTCAAAAAGCTAAAAATAGAGATTCTACTTGACCAGCTATATCTCTCCTAAGTATATTCCCGAGACAGTTAAACATATCATACTCTAATGATACTTGGATATCCATGTTTATAGCAGTGCACTTCACAATACCTAAACTATTGAAACATCTTAGATACCCATCAACAGACAAATGAATAAAGAAAATGTGGTCTATATACACAATGGAGTATTATTCAACCATAAAGAAGGGTGAATTTGAATCATTTGAAGGAAAGTGGACAGATCTTGGGACCGTAGTATTAAGTGAAAATAATCAGATAAAGAAGGTTAAATATCACATAATTTCTCTTATTTTAGAAACTCAAAATATAGATAAATTAAAGAGTAAAATAAAGGAGAGATGGTAGGGAATATAGAGGTAGACTTTTTGGAGATGAGAAAGAGGATCGGGGAAGGGACAAGAAGCCAAGGAAGGGAAGAAAAGATATGGAGGGGCCAGGGATTTAGCTCAGTGGTTCCGCCACGTGCCTCGCAAGCACAAGGTCCTGAGTTTGATCCCTGGTACCAAAAAAAAAAACATAAAATAAAGGATATGGAAAATGATGAAGACATGATATATTAATGTACCCGTACCTCAAAATTAATATAATTATTGTGTATTGCAAACACAGCAGCAAAAAGATTTGCTGAACTTCAAAGGGATGATCCCAACTTTTTTTGGAATAAGGTTGCAAGAATATATTTTTACAACTTGGTTATTTTCCCAAATCAGTTGATGTTGAGGCATCATCAACTTGCAAAGAACTGTTTGGCTTGCTTTGCCCCCTTTATCTTTCCCTTTCTTTTCAGCACATTCTGTTAGTTTGGCCAACACACTGAAAAGTCAAAAGATAAGGGGCCTGGAAATCAGAGAGGAGATTATAGCCAAAGGACTTAACCACAGGGTTTGGACATGTCCTCTGTGTCACTGGAGGTGATATGGAAAAGCAAGCAAGGGGGGAAACTTGCGAATTTGAGCACTTCTGATTGGAAGCCTCAGAGAGGACATCAGGTCTCTCGTGTCCAGCAAACCCAAAGAGGACCACCGTGTAGAACACATTGAAAAACATGGTCACTTGAGACAGCTCTTTTCCTTGGTAGTGAATCCAGTAAAAATCTGGACATAAAATTTCACAAAGAAGGGTTAAATGATAGAGAATAAGTAAGCAATGTGCAGCACAGGACAAACTCTGGATAGACGTCCAAAGGGTTGAAGATATAATGGGAAGTTGGCAAGGACTCTTCTAAGGAGATACGAAGAGCGGAAATGACTGACCTCTGCCAGGGATCTCAGTCTACTCAAGGTCAGATGCTTAATGACTGAAACTGAAGAAATCAAAGGAAAACTGAAACCTGTCTGAGCTCTATGTCAAAAAAAGCATACTCACAATTTCCCAATCTTTAATACAAGAGGATTGCTTCTATATTCAATTTATTTTACTCAAAATTGTTTTCTTAAGTTTCAAGTTGAGAAAGAAATGAATGGTAGCTAAAATTTACAACAGGGTGACTCAGTAAAACATTTATTTTTCCACTTATTAATTCCACGCATATCAATTGAGATCTAACATTGCGGTGGGCACTGGGGCACAAAAAAACCCCTAAGATCCAAAGCTTCTGAGTACACATATGCTAGTGCTGGACAGAAGTGAATTGTCTAATATTGCTGTTGCACTACACCAAATCTTAATATATTTGTTAATAGAATTTGAGGACAAATGGAAGATATGGCGTACAGAAAACAAATAGGATTAATTTTCCTAGAGGAGAGATACACTGAATATATAAATATTCATTTAGATCTAGGAGATTTATATCATCCTACATATTACATCCTACAGGATAATACACACAATAGGATAATTTATATTATGTTCTATATAGTATAAATCTATGAGAGATAGATCCTCAGTGGATTAATTAGCTATGATTAGTAACTTTCAGGTCTTACCATTATTTGGGGGAAAGTGGGAACTCCAATTTTCCCAATTCGGCCATCAAAATAACCCTTGTTAGGACAGATGGCTTGAGGGACCATGGATGTGCCTGTATATGACATGTGGTACATTGCATTCTTCAGCTAAGGCAGATCTATCTCCCTGATGAGCACGTGGCAGGCAGATTCCTCATGAGAAATGTCTGGCACCATTGTCACTTTCCCATTGGTAATGGGAACGGAGGGTGAAAGCTGTATCAGAGATTTCAGCCAAATGTCAGAAAGAGCTTTGAACACAGCTAATAAAAAACCAAATCTTTTCCTAAGGAAATATGCCACCAGGGTCTGTATAACCATCAAATATGGTGTCATAGGTAAGTAGATGATACCCAAGATCCTTTCCAAATTCCCAAATTTTAAATGTGCAATTCTATAACTCTGTTTTTTAGTTGGATTTTAAGATTTGGACATATGGATACATGGTTACTATTTTGTAGTATAAAGTTGGCTGCTTACATAAATCATGAACAGCTTTGCCCCAGCCTTTTTTTGGGTCAATTATGAAAATGAATCCTAAATTCATTTTCTACTTATTCAATAAATATGATATTGGTAGTATATTTGCATATTATTGTTGCTTAATAATCTTCTAGCCTTTGTTATGAAATAAAGAAGGATTGTGCTTTGTCCTTGAGCTAGCATTTTGTCCTCATCATTATTACATGTCCCTGGGAAGAATGGACTAGAAGGTGGGACAATAAAAACACTGCCATTTGCAGTGAGCCTTCTGTGCCATTAAAGGGAATCCTAAAATGACCTGGTGGGTCGCCAACATTCCAAAACATAGCAGTAAGAGCTAAGCTTAGCCTATTTCTTCTATCCACCAAGGCTCAGCATGGCTTTATCCACCTATCCCTTTATTATTCTGAACTCTCTGATAGCCTGGGTTGTTTCTCTCTACAAATAATTTCATGTACTGTATTCAGCATTAATGTAGAGTGACTATGTGGAGATGTCTTCTATTCCTCCTTCTAACAGATTAACAGCTAATAAACACCAGGCAGCACTCTCTCCTCTGAACCCCTTCTTAAAATATAGAGTTTGCTTTGCCAACATTGGTGTATTTAAAGCCTCCAGGATTCCAGGGAAGACTTTAGAAAGTTAGCTGTACAAGTGAGACCTGGTCAGGGAGGAAATTTTCCAACACAGAGCCAATCAGTATATCTACTCATCTGAGAAGAACCACAGGGGATCCTATAGTTATTTGTTTTATAGACTATTTATTTTTACTTAAAACGTTTCACTCTATTTCTGGCATGTAAGACTGAAGATAACTCTGTAAATGTATTACCTAGGGAGAAGGGCAGGCAGCATACATTTCATATTAAAGGACAAAGACTGTCTGTTCCTGGAAGGGACACCATGCCACCTTCCAATGACTGCATTGAAGGGAATGTATGCTATCTGCTCTTCTCCATTTGCCTTCTTCTACCTTCCCTAGAGTCTCTACACTTCCTTTCCCCCTACCTAGATAGAAATGAAACAATTAGTTTTTAAAGAAAAGTAAAAAACTAGAAGCTGTGTTCAAGCTTTAAACAAGCCCCCACCAATACTCTGTTTTGAAGATATGGAGTATTGGCAAGATTATATCAGAGTTAACCTGGATAATTATCTGAAAATGATGTATTTGAGCTCCTAACAAAGATGAAAAAGACAACCATAGGGATAGTAAAGCAGACAGTGAGCACATAGTCCAATTTAGGGGATGCCCAATACCAACGAACTGGAAACCATAAAGGAATGTATTTGTGAAACACTGGACAGTTTCTGAAGTCTGACAGTTTGTACTTTTAAAACCATTCAGATTATTGTGCTATTAAAATACAGGTAAATATTTGCAGAATGTACTGATCTTTTTGCCTGAGGTGTACCTTCTGAGTCCAAGCCTCTTCTTTGCCTTCAAGTAGGTGTTTCTTGTTGCAATAGAAGCTTTAGTGTTATTTGATTATTTACTTTTACTTCTGCCACCCGAGCATCTCTGTTGACTTAAGAAAACCTTGAAGAAACTTCAGTTTGGCAGTTTCATTGGTGTAGAGTTGACTCTGGGATGAGCTGCATCCATGGTGATGTGGTAATGACAGGGCATTGCCCTGTGCTATCAAAGCAGTCAGCGCTATACTCTTGCCCCCGTACTCACGATATCAGTGCCCTTGATCTTGAGCACTTTATATGCTGTATTCATGTATATCAAACCTCTTTTGACAAAAGATCAGATGAGTTTTTAATCACAGTTATAGATTTGCTGGCAAATAATTTGAATGAGTTGCATTCGTTCTTCCTACAAGGTAGCGTCATTGTACCTTGTGTTTTCCAGACTACCTTACCCTAGTGGTGTTCTCTCTTGGTGCCTCTCCTATGCCACTTGTCACACTAACCACCTCTGGATCATTAAAAAGCCAGCTCATTTCTTGGGGATGTTTACAACTTGATTTTCTGGCTTTTCTTTCCCCAGAACTGGACTTGAAGCTATCATGGAGACTTACGCATTTTGGAGACCTCCTGTGCGTACACTCACCTTTGAGGATTTTACTACTATGCAAAAGCAGCAAGGTAAAGCCCTGGGGCAAGGCCTCTTCTTAGTGTTAGGCATGGGGAACGTCGGGGAGGCTGAACTGAGTACAGCACGCCTGGCTCCATGTCAAGATATGGGCTACACCAATTCTCCTGGAACAAAGAGAACTCAGTAGCTCCCTAAATAACCAAAGTATCACCACCCGTGCAAACAAGCTGGTTCTAGAGACAGCATCTCATCTGGCATTCCAAATTATTTCTTCCTGAAAACATAGTTATATATTTATGCTTTTGAGGATGATGAAATTATCGTGGCCGTTATTAAGCATTCACATGGATCCTAGTATTAGAAGAGATTGTCATAATAACTTTATTCTTCATGGCAGCCTCATCAGTTTTCTTATTCTAGTTTTATAGATGAGAAGAAACTTAGCTGTGGACAATGGGAATAAATTACATCAGGTCTCACCATAAAGGGGGGTGCTGCTACAAGCCCATTTGAACCCTGTTACTGTGTTCTCTCTTGTTTTGGTTGTCTGGATTAATACCCCTTTCAAGTCAGTGTGCTAAATAACATTGTCCCACTGCTCTGTGATTTTCATCTGGTTTCTAATCGCCCTTCTCATAGCTCAGGTTGGGAAACCTTGGCTATATATACAGAGGGTTTGTGGGCTGGTCTCTGTTCCTTTTCTCAGTACCATCCTGTTACTAGGTCCATCCACCTGGTTACCTGAGTGAAAGCTTTCCAAAGAATCAGATAGTTTAGGAATCTTCTTCCCAGTTCCTCCAGCCTCCTTCTGCCCCACTGTGACACTCATCAAAATGTACAGACTGAGCTCTTTTGTAACATGGAGAAGGTAAAGAAGGTAGTAGAGATATTGCCAGTTCTTGTGAGCAGGCATGGTAGGTAATGACTGTGTTGACTGCTGTGACTCCAAGATGTCCCACAGCACCTGGCTGGAGAAGCAGCTAATGAGCACAAATGAAATTCCTTGGTGGTCCTGTGGCTTAGGTAGGCAGGACCCCTGCCAGCCTCCTTTCTGGAGCACAGATAGCTGGTGTGTAAGTGGATGTAGATATGGAGCGATCATTGAGGGAGGCAGCTTACATTGCAACAGCGTGTGAGACCCCTGGGCAGCACAGGCACAGGGAACCTGCATAGATTACTTGGGTATTGGTGCATCAAGGTTTATGACGCTCCTGAAAATCTATCATCGTGAAGGTTTATTGATATTTTGAAAGTATTTGGTTTAGGAGAAACTGAAATTTCAAGGCATAATGTCATGACTATTTCAGTGACCCCCTTTTATACTGAAGGAAACAAACTTGAATCTTTGGATTCATGTAGTAGTGAGATGAGGCTAGCAAAAAGCTAATTTACTGGATTAAAATTTCTATTAAATAGTTAATGACATTTTCTGTTAAATAGATTAATTAGAGTATGTATATAATTAAACTATACATTGAACTTGATCCAGTAGGAAGATATGTATCTAGCTAGGTGTGGTGGCACAGGCCTGTAATCCCAGCACTCTGTGAGGCTGAAACAGGAGGATTGTGAGTTTGAGCTCAGCTTTGGCAACTTAGGGACATAGCAAGACTTTGTCTCTAAAATAAACAAAAAGACTTGGTTTCCTGATGTTAACAAAGGGCTTAAAAGTGTCTACTCATTTCCCCTTCCCTTAAGAACTAGGTTTCAGTAAATGTGCACAGTATTACTCACAAATGAAGAAGAGTCAGCTATTTTTGCTAAACCTCTCTGTAACTTGGAATGGAAAATGAAGTTAAGTTGCTAGTGGAATATTGAGGGGGACACTGGTTTTAGAGTAGTTGGTTTGTTAGTGAGGGGAATGTTGACACCAAATTTAAGAACGCAATAATGATGGACTCATTGAGGAGTCAGTACAGCCTCACTGCTTCAAGAACTTGTCTAATTATAGCTCTAGGACAGTTTTTTGCTGTTATTGGTAGAGGTCAGACCAACCTTTCTACATAGATGAGGGTAAGGATGCTTTGTTTTTCTTGCTCTTGTTGTCATTTTCATTTCTTTTTCATTACAGCTCCTTTGTAAAATTTCCTTCATAAAATTTCAAGGAAAATACTGAGTTGAGTCAGCCATAGTTGTGCAAAACTCAAATAATTCTGTTTACAAAAAAAGGATTGAGAAAATATATTATTCATATTGAACCTGACCCCTGCCCCTGCAATGTGAAATTAGGGGGAAAGTCTGGGAAATGAGGTAATGAGGGGATATAAATGATCAAAATATGTTATGTGCTTGTATAAACCTGCCAAAATGAAGCCCATTAATCTGTATAACTAAGAAAAAAATTTAAAAACACAAAAAATAAAATTTTTTTTTTGGTACCAGGGATCAAACTCGGGCCTTTGCACTTGTGAGGCAGGGGGCAGAACCACTGAGCTAAATCCCCAGCCCAAAAAATAAAAACAAATTTAAAGCATTGAATGATGTATCCTAAATAGTTGTTTTCTTTTATGGAGAAGAATGTGTGGGATTCAAAATCTTCTATCTTTGACAGGAAAGAGAAACTGAGGCATACAGTCATCTAGTAACACACCCATAGTTAAGTGGTAGCAGAGCAGAGTTGAGATTCCCCATTTAGCAGGGCAGTTTTCTTTCTACCAGATCACATTATCTTTCTTCATTCTTACTCACTAAAGCTTTAAATTCCTTTCCCACAAAGAATTTAGTTTATTTTTCTTATTCACGGTTTGTCATTCAACATCTTGAACATTAACTCTTGATAGGTTTATATTCCATTTTTAAAAATGAAATCAATTGTATGGCCTTTATTTGGAATCAGCGGAGATATTTATGTGTTGGGAGAGTCTGGAGATAGAACCTCCCTTTCAGGAATGGTTTCTTTTTGAATACTGCTAGTAACAGGGAAGAAATGACCTAACCGAGTAAGTTACGCTTAGGGAAGGTGACTGAGGCAACCTAGACACGCAGAGATAACGAAGCAAGAGCCCAAGTGCATTATAGGCAGGCTCAGTGCTATTGTGTTGTTGTTCTGATGGATATTCTTAAATAAAATGCATGCCTCAGTTTCCTCATATGTAAGACAGAGCTACTTGTGTGGCTCAAATTAAGAGAGCTTCTGTGAGCAGTGGCCCCAAGTGATTTGACAACTGTTGTCCTGAAAGGGATGATTCTGGGGACCTCAGCACTGGTGATTTGTCCCCCTCTGTGGGAACGAGGAGATGTGAAGCTTTCTCTTTTGTTCAAGTGCCAGTAGAAATCACTACGGATCTTAAAACCACTGAGTGTTTTAGAGTGTGTTTGGTGATTAATGTGTCAGAATGATAGGATCTCTGTCTGGATTTTCATCAGTTTGACTTGTGTTAATTAGAAGTGGGTCAGTGAAGAGGATCAGATGCTGGGCAAGTTATACTAGTTATAGTAGTTATACTATACTAGTAAAGTTATACTAGTAAAATACTGAGAAAGAACAATTCAGTAGATAGCAGTTTTTGAACTCTCTAGTCATTGTAATCACTCAAAAATAACCACTTTACGCAGAACTCATGAATCACTGAGATGAAGAATAGTGCCCATTTGTCAAGCTTGCAACTGAGTAGTCACATAGAATATTTTTATAGAATGTCCCTTTTGATATAGAAAAACATGATTTCAGCTACACAACATGACTTATACTATAAGAACAAGGAGCTCCTGATGGAGTATGGAGAGCATTTCAATTCAGTCCACTAAAAAAACTGTATAATTTGAGCATTCCTAATACTAAAATCCAAAATCAGAGCTGCTCCAAGATCTAAAGTTTTTGAGTGCCAATGGGATACTATAATTGGGAAATTCCACACCATGAAACTTTGCTTCATGCACAAAATTATTAAAAACAATGTATAAAATTACCATTAGAATATGTGTATGATGTGTACATGAAGCAAAAAAAATGAATTTCAGGTTTAGGTTTATATCCTGTCCCTTACATATATCACCATGTATATGCAAATATTCTACAATATGTATTTTTAAAAGCCCAGAATCTCAAAATGCTTCTGGCATAAAGTTTTAGATGAGGGACATTCGATTGGTAATTGATATTGTATTTAATTGGTAACTGTATTTCTGCCCAAGTCCGGTATGCTCAGTGTGTCTGAAATAGAGACTATAGTCAGCTTCTTCTCAGTGAAGGACTCCCCATTCACTCATTGTCTTGAATCTCTCCTAGTCCCATTCCACCATCACCATGTCCTTGAATCTGCTCCCTTTCTAACCTCCCTGGCTGTGTCTTTACTCTGAGCTTTCATCATCTCTCACCTAGATGACTCATAGCCTCTATTTTTCCCTCCACATCCCTCTGCACACAGTAGTCAGAATAACTTTTTCAAAACACACATCTGTTCATGTTAACCTTTTACTTCAACTTCCTTAAACTTCTTCCATGGCCATGATGTACTTTCACTTATGCAAAACATTTTTTTAAGCATAGTCTATTTGATCTTTCACGTTCTGGCTTGAGTTGCTTGTCTCTAAATTAGAGATGGTGGCAGTGAGAATTAGATAAGTTAATACCTTAAATAAGACAATGAAGCACTTACAAAAGTGCCTAGGACTTACTAAATATGCAGTGAATGTGCTCTAAGATTATTCCTAATTGTTACCTTTATTATCACTCTAGCTATAGCTTATATCACTTTCCCTCTTTCCTCTGCTGTTCCAGCTTCTCTGGTCTTACTTTTGTAGTTTTCTATCAGGCTGTGCTCTTTCCTGCCACATGTTGTTCTCTTTGTCTGGAAGGCTCCTTCCCACTTTGACTTATAGTTATTACTGTTTACCTCTAAGATATCAACTTAAATAGCACTTTGTCAGGGAACTTTTCTTTGCTATCTGTAGTAGGCTAAATATCATTCTTTCATGATTATCTTTCATTTCTATATTCTTATATTTTCCCCTTGTGATTAAATACTTGGTTCCAGACATGTTATCTTGTTCATATTTAGTGACTGAATGAATAAATGAACTCTGCTAGGTGCTGTATCAAGGGATTAGT